ATTACAAACAAGAAAATAATGTAATACAACATGTAATGCTTGACAGAAAAACTTTTTTATATATGGTGACGAAGCAACAAAGCAGCAAAGCATTCATTCATTCGAACATTTCGATTTTTGGTTTTTGATTTTTTTCCGGATTTCGAAACGGATGAGAAATGGACATATTCGAATGAAAAAAAGAAACAAATTTTTTAATTAATTAGTTAATCTGATTGATGAATTAATTACAAATTACAATTACAGTTATAATTAAAAATTCAATGTCAATCATTTGATAATCATCTGATTTTTTTTTGTTCATCATTAATCATTTATCATATTGATAGGTTTGTTTGTTTTGTTTTTGGTTTTTTAATTAAAACTTGAACAAAACAACAACAATGGCCAAATGATCATTTATAATCATTGAATTTAGCCATAGCACTACAGAATAAGAATTTTAGTGAGAATTTTCATTAAATTTTCATTAAAATTTTTCTGTTTTGTTTTGTTTTGCCTTTTACCGGGAAAAAACCCGGAAAAAACAATAACAGAAAACAACATTTTCCCCGTAAGTAACTCGATAATAAATCTGATTGACTATTTCACCATTTTTTTTTTCTTTGAAAAAAAGGTGAGGATGAACAAAACAAAACAGAAAATCGAAAAATGAATTTACTTACACCATTTTCAAATAGAATATTTCCATCTCGTATTACTAAATACCAGATGATCCTGAACAAAATGAAATGAAAAAAAAATAGTTATTAAAAATTAACCGAAAAAGACAAAAAGAAGAAACTTTCAACCGAAAAAAAATCCATTTACAGTAATTACACGCTCGTTTATTGTTTAATAAAGCAAGTTTAACCCCTGTTTACCCGAGTTTGAATATTGGAAATATTCAAAAAACAAAACTTGAAAAGATTATTAAATGAAAAAAAAAACACTTACCACATCGAATTATTGATAATAAAACTTAGAAAAAGATTTTTATGTATTCGTATTCGAGTTTGTGATGATAATGTTCTTTACATTTTTTTTGGTTGTTTTGTTTTTGTTTGTTTTTCGTCAATGTTTGATTTCATAATGGGATTTTTGAAAAAAATAGAGAAGAAGAAAAAGTTAATAACCGAAATTTGATAGGAAATTTTCAACGAAAAATCGGGAAGAATTTTTTCATTGGAAAAACATTTTTCAAAAAACTAAATAAACTTACTTGAATGAAATAAAAATTGTTATTGAAATTAACAATGCAACCAATGATATTGAATAGCCAACAATATATAGTTTGATGATCATATTACGAAACTATATTTTTTTGGGGGGGAATGGATTTTTGTTTTGTTCAAAAAAAAATCAATGTTTGATTAAGAAAAACAAAAGAAGAAAAAAAATTTTTTGTAATCAGAAAAATGAAAAAATTAAGAAATTTGATGTCATGTACGAAACACACAAACAAACACCAAACATTTCTACAGCTTCATCAAAGTATTTATAAGAATAAAATCAAACAAACAAAAGCCAAACGAACGAAAACATGGATTTTCGATTGAAAGATTGAGAGAGGGAAAGATCACCCCAAATACAATCCACAATAATAATAATAAACTTATTAATGATGGGAAAGTTTTCATCTTTTTCTTTACTTTTTACTTTTTACTTTTTGCAAATCAAATACAAGTCAGTAAGTAAGTAAGTAAGTGAATTAAGATTTAAGGAAAAAAGAACAATAAAGAATTCTTACATTAAGATCAGGAATATCAACACATGATGTATAATTAGTCCATGGTACATGTGTTTCATGATGTACACGCCATTTTCCTT